AATAGAAAACCTGTCCAGGGCCACTCTGTGATCCCAGTCCCGGGCCGCTTAGCCATCCCAATCCGCCCCTGGTCGAGCACGTGAGACGTTCGTTGAGAATTATAGCGTTTGTTATAGCGCGACTGCTGAAATTAAGTGTATCGCAAAGTTATATTCAGAAAGAAAAAACCAGTTTTATTTAAGAAAGGACTTCTATAGGTAAAGTTTCTTCCGCAATAATTTTTACGGAAAATTAACGAACGAACGGAGACGTAACAATATAGTTAGGGATATATGCCTAATATTCTAATTAAAGGACAGATTTATTAAAAAGATGTCATTCATTGTATTTCTTTTGCAAAACATCAAGTATTTTGAAAACTAGTCTCAGTATAATGGAATTCATTTCGGAAATTTTTGATTTATATGCATATTCCTGTTTGTAGCACAAAGCTACACCGTGAGCTATCTGTGCTGTGCCTACCAATGGTTTTTAGCGTCATAAACCTTCAGCCTTACTTACCGCTGTGTCACTGGACAGAATTTCCACTACGTAAATTATGAGTTGTATTTTATTGAGTAGTTACTGAAAGTTTTAACCATGCTTTAAAAATATTTTAGTTTTAAGCAAACTAGAAAATTCCTCCAATTGTGGAATCTCATCACATTACGTTTATCAGTAAACACCATCCCTAATTCCGTACTATCGACCACAAGGGGGCAATCGGCAGGTGGAAACACTTTCACTTAATTTACTATACTATCAGATGCCCCTTGTCACAGTTCAACGGTAAATTTCCTAAAAAATGGGTATGAACAAATAAAAGAATGTGCAGTCAACTCAATGCTCTGGATTATAACGAATATGCCATATGGTTGTCTGGTGGGTCACTTACAAACGTATTTTGTCAATTATTGTGTTTGAATAAGTAAAATTGCATTGCGTTTGTTTTTAAACAAAGGAGACTGACTGCAAAGCATGGTTGCATCCAGCACAATAAAGCACTCAGGTTTGCTAAATAGCCGTGGGGATTTTTTTCGCTGGATGCCACCATTCCTTGTCATTTTACTGAGCACGAGAAAATTCTGCTACTGAAATAAGCACTTTTTGACAGTTTTCATTTCTATAATAATATCAAAAAGAAGATATTCAATTCAATATATTCGACATGATATGATAAAATCATGCATGTATATATTAACGACAAAAAAAATATATATATACATGCAAATACTAACGAACATAAAAAAAATATATATATACATGCAAACCAAACAACAAATATATACACAAACAAGTTCCTCTCTTTATGCGTTTTTTTCCATTCATACTCCTACCTTCGAATATTTCTTTCAATCAGCCGACGGTGAATGTCTCATTTTTTTCGTGAAATTCACTTACAAAAAGAAACATTTTTGTTTTTAAGTTTTTTTCTCAGATTGGCTGTTAAGCACATATTAAGACTGGCGGATAAATGTTGATATCGATAAATTTTTGGAATTGCAAAAAATGATTAATTTCCCTGTAATGTACTCTTGAAGGGAAGAATTTTGATATACGATTTTCTTTATATGATTAATCATTCAGGAGATACAGTGTCTGACAGACAGACATTTGGCTATCATATATATATACAAGATTTTAGGTAACTTTTTTTTCCCATCTTACTTTTAACATTAGGTATTCATTGTAAATAAGGTTATTTCAGTACTGCTACTCATATGTTTAAAAGAGTTTAGCATCAGCTGTTCTCTCTCCAAGGGTCCCCCAACGTGATAATGGTACATTTACAGACTTAGAACACTGTGGTTTGATTCCCCATGGTGGACACAACAGACGGCCCAACGTGCTTTGCTCTAAAATAAACTTTTAAAGACTCATCTAATATTAATGACCATTTACATTTAGATAACATCTGTCCTTCCCATATACTTTCTTGCTCACACCAGTTCCATAACCCCACCCTCTTTCCTCTAGTTTTCCATTCGACCAGTGTGACCTCCGTTTTATTTTTTCCTATTCCCTCAGTATAAATGCTTATTTCATTAATATCATTCTGAGGTCTTACAGAATGTTTAAGGGTTGTGCCTTACCTGCTAGGTGAGCCATTTTATGCAGCCTAGAATATAGGCCATTATTAGATGAGCCTTCAAGTCTCACAAAGAATTTACCTGCTCCAGTCTTGTTACGAGGTTACGGGTATCTGTCAGGAATATGATCCTTTCATGGTTTTCACTGTTACTGGTCAATGAGAAAAAACACTCGTATGGTTCATCTTATGCTCTAAATGAACAGAATATTCAAACACTAGATGTCCATCTCTCGATTGGCTGGGCCATCCATCGATCAGAGTTAGACTCTGCTCATATATCTGCTATATGACTTCAGTTTCATTGACCAGTTTTGGCTTTTCCCTCTACCTCCTGCTGTTACTCTTTGTATTTAACTTGATGACATCTGCCTGGACTCACTCAATATTCTTGATCTTTTCCAGTCTCCATATCTTCTCTTGATCTTTTTTGACCTCACTGACATGCAACTTGATTGATGTCAGTCTCTATTTTATTTGCCCTTTCTCGGACGTGCTGATATAGTTACGTTTATTTATCTCACTTCACAATGATGTGAAAAATGAATGCATGTCTTCCTATCATTGTGACTTGGAACATTTATAGTCATTTGGAATTAGTCTCTTTTGGTTCAGCACTAAACTTTATTTTATGTTGTATAAATCTCTAGTATAATGGTAGAAGTATTCAAGTTTATTTGTTTTTTTATTAAGACAGCATTTTGGCTAAATAAAATTATTCTTATCTTACTGAAAGCATACAAAATAAAAAGTAATTCTGTTTCGTAATGAAATATACATTAGTATGAAATACCTATTCAAGGTAGGGAAAAACATGGTCCCAGAAGAATGAGGCAAGATCTGAATGTCAACATACTCGTGCCACTCCCTGAGATGCTTTTAAAGTTTAGTGCAGATAAATAGAATAGCACAGGGAACACATGAGGGTGTCTGGGGTGAAGTGTTAAGATTCAAGCCCCAGCTCCCATACAACATTCTCTGGAATGTCTTAAGGGTGCCTTGGAAGTCTTTTAAAGGGCAATAGAATAGCACATGGAATACAAAGGGTCCCTGTGGGGGTACATAGGGGGTCAAATCCAATTGCCAAACCACCTATGTTACTTTACAGGGGAGCTAATCTACCAGACACGCCAAGTCTGGCTGAGATCAATCAAAACTATATACATAAAAGGTGTACACAACACACTTTTGCTTTATGTAGATTTAGAATTATTATGTAAAAATCAAGTAATGTTATAAGCTACAATTTCATGTCACAAAAAATTAATAAAACTCAGCATATGATCGTTCAGACTCCGAGTTTGTGTGTGTGTGTGTACTGATACTTCCTTACTTAAATCTACTTTTAATTCAACAACAATAATAATTCATCTTCAACTAAATACCTCGTGTAAAATATTTGCAGAATTCAATTAGAAGAAATTTATGACTTTCATGATATATTAAAAGATCTTTTCAGAATGTCTTTGCATTAATCAAGATCTAAATCTTTATCCTTGTAGTTTCTACCTCTGGTGGCTATATTCTTCATAAAATACAGTATATTTTACTTCTTTGTGAATTTTTTTGTACTTACAATTTAAAATTTAATAATGACATTAGTGTTTATCTAAAATAAACTTCATGAAATTCCTGACTCCTGGAAATTGTTAACCATATTTGTATTGAATTTGGCATTCATTTTGTTTCAAGTTGCAAATCAGACACAGCAAAGTTTCAAACAATATTATCAAAGTTCCTCATTATTTGGATCTTTCAGTACAATATAGATTCCAACGGTTTAAACAGTGTTTCTATTTATTCGTACTTTCAGACAGAAAACCGTTCTAAGCAATTAAACAAGTATTCCTTTTTGTCCAAAGTAAATGTTAGCACCAAATCTGGTTTTTTCAGAGGAGTTAAAAGTTCTTTTTTTAATTCTTTACTTTCAAGAATACATAAGTCTTGGAATCAACATCACCTACATCTTTAAAATCTATTTTAGTTTTATACTGTGGACTACTCCTGCACGTATACCAGATATTTCTCCCCCGTAACGAGACAGTTCCTTTCTTGGTTCTCTAACCTATACAAAAATAAGATGCAAGGATAGACCAAGTTATAATTTTATAATGTGATATTACACATTTCAGTACAGCATTTGAAGAAAAAAGAAACATAAAAAATCAACTATAAACTAACTCATACATATTAAAGATGTATACTACTAATTAGGAAAAATTCATACCACATCATTGTAAGTGCTCCACTTCATCCAAAATTATGTCATACCTAAATTACCTTTAACTCACTGGCAATCTTTCATTTTAATACAAAAAATCTTTTTTGTAGAAAACCTTTCAAGGATCAAAAAGAATTCGCTAAGAATCTTTAATAAATTGTTTAGAATTCAATGATAAAGCTCCCTTAACAACAGTTTCCTATATAATTTATGTCTTCATCACTAATGACTTGAAGCTGATAAACATTTCTTATTGAAGTACTTGATAAAACGTTAGAGTTAATGAATCCAAAATTTAAAAACCAATAACTTTACATAAAAAAATAATAATTAAAAAAAAGGTGAAGAAAGTAGTGCTTGAAAGCCTTATATACGAAAACTTACCTGTCCTTTACGTCTTGTCTTAGCTTTTTTATACTTCATTTTCAGTCGCACTCGGGGATTACGCTGTTCCTTTTTACGATGAGGAGTTAACCCTTTGTTTTTAGCAATCTGTAATTTAAGAAGATGTATAAATGGCTACTGTAATACAAGTAGTAAGTAAACATAAAAAGACAAAGCCTGGAAGGTGTCCCGCATAAAATAGTTTTAAAATGGAAAATTGTAAAAGTTTTAAGTTATTTTTCCATATAATGGAAATTTTTACATTTAAGATGTCAAAATAATGTTGAATAAATATAAGAAAGGTCTATTGAAATGTTATAAAGTTCTCTTATTTTTAGTTATTAACACCCTCTGGTGAAAATTACACTTATATAAGTTTACATTACAAAATAAATCCCAAAAGCCATTCATACTAAATTAATAAATTAAATTTAAAGAATTTGAAAAGCTGTCCCTAGAAGAATTAATTTAACTAACTGTTAGTTTTAACAGAACAATAAATAAAATAGTAGATCAAGAAGAAGAATACTTTTTTTTTCTAAGCAACATGCTAATTCTCAGCATTGAATTATAGGTGTCTTACAGTAAGTTTCCTTACAGTGGTTAAGGAAACTAAAAGCACCTAAAAAAACAAAACAAAAAAAATTAGGTTTTAACTTAATAATATGCAGAACTATATATATATACACAGTGTGGTCACAAGTAAATAGACACCACCTTTTCAGAAAAAATTAAATTTTTCAGTCCTATTCAAATGAATTGATATATTTGTAATTTAATTAATATCTAGTATATCTTCCTTTCGCTTTGTGGAGTTCGTTGATTCTTTGGGGCATCATGAGAATCATCTCGTCAATTTTAGATTGTGAGATTTTCGCCCACTCTTGCTTCAAAACTTGGAGTAGGTCGCTCTTCGAAGTTGGTTTTTTTGGTTGTTTCTTGACTTGCCGGTCGAGTATTGCCCAGAGGTTTTCGATCATCATCACAAATCGAACTCTGTCAAACATGTCATATGATTGCAGGTTTAACAGCTTTTGAGTGGTTGGACCTGTAGTGTAGGTTTCCTCTAAATAGCATTGGTGAGATGGTCATTGTATTGGGGAACAAGTATAAAGTTCCATTGAAACAACATATCAAGTCATTAAAAACTGGTCAACTTGAAAATATTTAACAGATACAGTCACCTCTTCAACTCACTTGTGCACTCAAACAACCCCCTTACTCATCACATCTACAAATTAAATGCAAGTGTTTGCAAGTTCCAGCTTCTTGTTCCATCCCCTGATATCAACAAGATCTTTCAAGTAAAACTACTCATGAGGACCATTCAGCATTGGAGACAAAAACTAATATCTTTACAGAATTGGTTAAATTATCTTAAAACACCTTGAATCTCTCGACATGAATAATCACAGTTTCAACTACATTTCAAAGAAGGTTAAGAAACAACTAAATTCACAAGTCGGGTCATCGGGCCAGCTTATCTTGCATAACAGGAAAAAGATCAATGTTCCACAAGAGGTCAAAAACCTAATTTCTAGAACCCTAACTTCCACAGAAGAACAGTTTCTCTCTCTTGTTCTCAGTTTCTCTCCAGTACCTAATTCCACTTCAACCATTGATATTATAATACTCATAGAGAAAGCTGCTCAAGGTCTTCCAACGCCACACAGTACTGAAGTCAGTCTTTACTCGTTCAGCTTTGATGTCAATAATATGTTCCTCGGCATTCCTGTCAACTCTGTCCTTCTCTTGGTATTAACAGCAGACAGGTCCCTTACAAATCTCAATGTCGACAGTCTGTTAGTGGTTCTGAACTTTTACAATAACCCCACCTACCATCACCCATTCCCAGTGACATTTTCATGGAAGATTTTGAAGCCAGAGCCCAGATAAGTAATTTGAAACCTAAGATTTGAAAATACTTTATTTATGGCACATTTATCAGTTGGTCTCATGGATTATCATCTCTTGAAGATTTTCTTCGTTACTTAAATTCTATAAACTGCAACAAACAATTCACCAAGCAGTTAGAAGTAAAAAAGCCCTTCCATTTCTGGATATACTTGTTCACAGGCATGATGCCCATCTCCCCCATACTGTTCATGGGAAACAACCCACACTAACACATACCTAAACTTCAGGTCCAACGACCCAAAACTTGTTAAATGCAGAATTATATCACATATGTTTGACACAGAAAATAAACTTAAATATTAAATATCTGGCAAGTCTGTTTGAAGTATTTGGGAATGTAGGTTAGAGAAATGATCAACTTGTATTGGACTTGTTGTGCATGTTGAAGAAACTTGTTCTTCTTGGTGCTAGATCTAAAACTGGAAGGGTGTCCGTCATTTTTGAAAACTTTCTTTGGAAAAGTTCTTTTTTAACATGATCTTTGCCACATGTCATTCTGACTGTGTCAAACATATGTGATATAATTCTGCAAAAATGAGGAAAATGTTTTTGAAACATCCTTACTAAAGTGAAACAGCTAACCAAGTCTAAACCAAAAGAATTCATTTAATTACATTAGCAAAACTGGTCAGACAATTATAAAAAGGTTAAAAGAACATAAAGACACAACTAACCTAACATATTCAGATAAATAAGCCTTGGCTGTACATAACTACCAAAAAAAAGAACATATCACACACTGCATTCAATATAAAATTCCTGCAGATAATATGATGATGTCACAGTCCTACCAACAACACCTGCCAATCACTTCACCTGCTCAACCTACAGAACTTAGAGCATTACTGTACTTGGCTGCATTTACTTTTATGAGACACTAAACAATTATATACAGTAACCTAAAGAATGTCTCAGTATAAAGTCTAAATATTGTCTCCTTTTAATTTAACAGGCTGTTGCAGTCCAGTAAAGTTCTCAAACCTACAACGTTTACTCAGTCAACTTAAGTTCCATTAAAATAGCACTAGTTTAGATATATAATGTAAACCCAAGTCAAAAAGTAACAACATAAAAATATGGTGTAGAATTTTCTTTATGTATACACCATCCTACTATTTGAAATTGTTTCACACAACTAAAGAATGAAGATTAAAATGGATTAGTTCAAAACTTCAGCATTTAGTTCATCATAGTATTTGATTTACTATTTAACACAAGCAGATACATTACGTTTTTCAAAATAACATTGATGCAAATCATGACTTTACTTAAATAAAATATACCTCATACGAAATTCCTCTTTTTCCACCTTCTTCACCCTCATCTTCATCATGATCTTCATCCATAGCTTCACCTTCACTGCTGATCTCCTCATCTCTATCATTATATAATGTAAAATCAGTTTTAGCTCGAAATTCTCTCACAGTCAGTTCTCATTTTTGAGATGTTATCATTTACATAAATTAACTTCAAACAAAGGAGACAAAAGCAACTGTAAAAAAAAGAAAGAATAAAGAAAAATCTCAAGTCATACCATTTTTTGAATATTAAGGTAATTAGTTATCTTCAGCAATAAGCTTTGACTTTTATTGACAAAAAAGATTAATTACTCAACCATTGAGTAAACTGAGTTACTCCAATGTATATCCTTATTTAACATAAAACTCTTAACTGTAAGTAATAGAAGTTAACAATAATAAATTATAATTCTATTGATTCATAAATTTAAATGGGTAAAAAAAGGTTTTCCAGCACAACTTCATTTTATGCTGTTCACTAAAGCTCATAATTAAAAAAACATTAAATTGAATGCACTATTCTATTTCAGGTATGAAAAAGTCAATTCCAATATCTTGTATTTTCACTTCTACATTTAATACCAAATATCACACAGATAATTGTTTGTTTGTTTATTTGAAATTAAGCACAAAGCTACACAATGGGCTATCTGTGCTCTGCCCACCGTTTTTAGCATTGTAAGTTCGCAGACATACCGCTGTGCCACTGTGTGTGTGTGGGAGGAGGGGAGGGGGGGAGATAATAAACGAATAAAATGTAAACATTCATTCATGGTATTAGAAAAACATACAGGTCCAAGATATCAATTATACAGTATGTCAAAGTGAGTGCCAATGTTCTTTAGATAAACGTTACTTCATCGTTACATACATACAGATGCACACGTTAAAATATAAGTAATTTTTGGTATTAATGCAAACAAAAAAAGTAGCTAGCTTTTTGGGCAATTTTGTTTTCAAAAAACGTTTGTTTTATTGTTTGGATTTAAATAAGATATTGTTAAAGAATATTAACATACTCTGTTTATTTTTTTTTGGTAAAATAATAGACATATTTGTATTTAAAAAAAAAGGAATATTTTAATATTCAAACCGTTTTAACATTTTCTGTTCCAAGTTGGTAAATCACAATGCTATCACATGTGCTTTTGTTTATTTAGTACAAAACTTTTTCTAGCCAAGTTTCATTGAGAAAAACTACAATTGATTGATTGTGTTATATTAAAACGACTTTGAACATGCAAATCAACAAGTCACATAACAACCACAGTCGGTATAAAATTGCAGTGGAACTGAATGTATGAGAACTACATTTTGACATTGTTTGGTATTTTAAAGATAGTGTGATGACACAGAAAATTGACTACTTTTGGGAAAGGTATGTAACAGTCCTTTCGGATGCAAAATATTCCTACACTCAGATAATATGGATCTAAACTCGGGAAGCAAAGTGCAGCATCTAATAACAGGTGGCACTCCAAGAACACAAAGATTAGTGGCAAAAGCCATTCACATGTCCTAAGGAACAGAATGCAACATAATCAAGAAGGATCTCTATTTGTAACAATGACTGAAGTTATGTGTACACAAGTTGCTTTCATGACAGGTTCATTTAACCACCACAAATTTCAAGCAGCTGAAAAATGAAACAGGTATTCATGCTATTCCATATGAAGACATATCAGTCCAGTCACAGGATACAGCGTCTATGAATTTCTGTTCAACGAGTTTGTTTTTAATTTCGTGCAAAGCTACGCGAGGGCTATCTGCACTAGCCATCCCTAATTTAGCAGTGTAAGACTAGAGGGAAGGCAGCTAGTCATCACCACCCACCGCCAACTCTTGAGCTACTCTTTTACTAATGAATAGTTGGACTGACCATCACATTATAATGCCCCCATGGCTTAAAGGGCGAGCATGTTTTGTGGGATGGGGAATCGAACCCACGATCCACAGATTGCGAGTCAAGTGCCCTAACCACCTGGCTATGCCAGGCCCTGTTTAATCAAACTGTTAAAATGTGTGCTGGAAAACTGTATTTCTCTTACATTAGATGGAATATGGAGAGCAATCAGCAAAGTGATATGCTTTGGACATGACAGTCTTATCGTAAATCCTTGTGTAACAGAACATATACTGCAGGGCTACTGTTAAGATTCATGGTTGTCACACAGAGCATGACTGAACATGGTGTCATGGACTGAAATCTCGAAGCTCCAAAATTGTTTTAATATAATGCATTCAACACAAGTGTTTTTGTATATTTAAATGCTAGCTGTAATGAAGTTACATCAATTTGAACACATGCTCAGTCAGGTCAGATTAATATAATAAAACACAAAGCTTGCAGGTGTATGCTTGATAACAGAATGACTATTACTGGTCAATTCTAAAACACAGAAGTCCCATACAGAAAGAAATTACAACAGTTAAAATAAGTTTTATCATTACAGTACATTCTAAAACAAAGCATGTCTACCATGTTGGTTTGATGACTCAACAAACCAAAAAAAACTAACAACCTTTGAGTAGTTTTCTTTCCTCCTTTCATCATTTCATACAGAGCAAGGACCTCTTTTTCATCTGCTGTTTCCACAAGCCTCACTTTCTGTACACAAAATTACAATACATGTTAAAACATCATTATAAGAAGAACCATGACAAACAACCATTAAATAATGAGTGGAGAAAAGAAAAAAAATGAAACAAGTAGGATAAAATGAAATTGGAAAATAAATTATTCAAAGTTTCTCTCAAAAATAGAAACAACAAAAGACTAATACTCCACTCATGTTCACTGGATTGGTGGATGGATGAGTTCTCTCTTTGTGGTGTCTGTAAAATTATTCTTATACTTAAAAAAAACAAAAAAAAAAACACATGGAACTATATTTATTACATGTTCAAAAACCTGCCAAAGGATTTACAAGTTATTACGATTACTATTTTTACATTTCTCTTGCCTAAATACCATGAAGTAATTCTAAGAGAAATATACTTAAGTACGGAAGTACGTTATGCTGATCTAATGATAAGTTGGCCAACAACGACTTATAAACATAATGAAATGATTTAAATAAATGATTCTTTGCCAACTTATCATTAACAGAAATGTAACTACAACATAACATAGAATAAACTTGATTATGTTTATGTTTCTAATATTTGTGCAAAGCTACATAAGAACTATCTACGTTAGCTGTCCATAACTTTGAACTGATAGACTAAAAAAGAAGAAAACTAGTCAACAGCAACCCACCATAAACTCTAGTGGGATTTGACAGTCACTCTTATTCATAAAGTGGAGTTTGATTTTGTGGTAAAGTGACTCTTGTATTCACAGTCCAGAAAACTAAACTCTAGGCCAGTGAGTCCCAACATTTTTTTTTGCGACCCTTATTTTGACACCAACAGGACCTCACGACCCTCGGGCTTAGGAAAATTTATATACACACAACCCTTCATGACCCTACTAAGTAATTGTTGCAATGCTGATATGGTTCACGACCTGAAGTTGGGAACTACTGCTCCAAGTTGTGCCTAGCCTTAGATGTTTGTGAGGGATTAACTTATTTTAACTCAAAAGTACACACATTGGGCAATCTGCCATAAGAATCAAATTTTAAATTTTAGCATTATAAGACTTTAGGCTTACTTCTGATCCTCTGGGATACATATTTGTAAGGAAACTCAAGTTAGCCGATTACTAAGTGACAAGTTTTGTTTAGTTTTTCTTGTTCTTTCCTATTACTTATAAAACTATAAAACAAAAGCAAACTGTTAAAAAAAACATGTATGTAAAATTCAAAGTTACATTTGGAAAGATTTGTACATGTTTAGGGTAATAAAGTTAAACCAGTGTCCATGTCTTTGTACGAGATAAATTTAATCAAACAATCATGCAATTAAGTGGCAAGTTAAACTTGATGTTAGGGAATTTTTCAAATAAAAATTACATTTATCAATAAATATTTATATCATTAGAAAGAGCTTTACCTCTACATTAAGATATAGACTTTGACCGAAAACTGTATATCTACTTGATTAGAAGCAAGCTTGTCTGAAGGAAAAATAAAAATTGTATTGTTTTTCTTAACTCGGGCATCAATAAGCTATGTACATGTCAGCCACTAATAATATCTTTATAACAACTGTTTAATAAAACAAACAACATCTAGGTCTGACTCTGATATAAATAACATGCATGTAACTGTTAGCCTGTAAAGAACAGCTATAAAAGACATGCCTTTCTTTTGTCCTGTTCTTCCTTTCCTGCATCTTTTGGCTCTATGGAATCTTCTTTCTGTTGCAGAATTCTGTCAAAAATGAACAAAAAGTCACCAATAAAATAGCTTTTAAACAAAGATAATACTATACTAACTACATCAAGTCATCAGGTTGATATCAAAATTATTCCTAGTGTTTAAACATCCATGGATTATTCTGGTTTTATTTATTTCTATTATAATGTCAGTTGATTTTGAAAAAGGAATCAATAGTTGGTATAATAATTACAGCAGGAATGTTTACAATAAAATACAATATAAATTACAATAAGCAGAAAGTAAACATTTCACAAGTTTTACAATATAAAAATACAACCAAATAACATTCTAGAGGTTTTCATTGTTATGAACTTTAGGAGGCTGCCATAAGTGGTATGAAAGTGTGATTGTAAAGAAGGTTTCACAGTTCAGCACATTTTATCTCACAAACAGTATGGTTTAGGAAGATGAAGTTTGACAGGGGGTGTTAAGGGGAACATGTGGTTGCAACTTCCATAGTAGTCACTTGTTGCCAAACGTAGGAAGTAATGAACCATCTTTTCTGCTGCTTTGTTAGCATTGAGTTAAGATGTTGACAGTTGTCGTTACTAATGTATTTGATTTTCCTTATCCACTACACATGTGGTAATTTTTCAGTAATCCTATTATATCAAGGATGTAATACTAGTTGGTAGCAAAACACTAATATAATAATTATTTTGCAATACCGAGTTGTTTGTTTCTTCTGGCCTCTTTACAAATGTTCTGACTGTAGCGCACCAATAGATATCATGATAGTAACATTTGTTTATGTAAAGAAAATCACGTAATTTATTGTCAAGTGATGCAAAACAATCACCCAGTAAAGAAATGTTACAAAAGAAACAAACCACAGTAACCTCTGTAGTGATATACAGATAAATGGAAGAATAAAAATGCACAAACAGTGAAATCATGGTGCATCAGTGACTGAAACAAGCCACACAGTCTATAAACTGTGTCACAGAATTATTAGATGGCCTCTCTGTGTGTCACAAAATTATGAGATGGTCTCTCTCTGTGTCACAAAAATATTAGATGGTCTCTCTGTGTGTCACAAAAATATTAGATGGTCTCTCTCTGAATCACAGAATTATTAGATGGTCTCTCTGTGTGTCACAAAAATATTAGATGGTCTCTCTCTGAATCACAGAATTATTAGATGGTCTCTCTGTGTCACAGAATTATAAAATGGCCTCTTTGTGTGTGTCACAGAATTATAAGATGACCTCTCTGTCAAAATTATTAGATGGCCTCTCTGTGTCACAGAATTATCAGATGGTCTCTCTCTGTGTCACAGAATTATTAGATGGCCTCTCTGTATGTCACAAAATTATGAGATGGTCTCTTTCTGTGTCACACAAATATCAGATGGTCTCTCTCTCTGTCACAGAATTATTAGATGGCCTCTCTGTATGTCACAAAATTATGAGATGGTCTCTTTCTGTGTCACACAAATATCAGATGGTCTCTCTCTGTATCACAGAATTATTAGATGGCCTCTCTGTGTGTCACAAAATTATTAGATGGTCTTTCTGTGTGTCACAGAGTTCAACTGAAAATAAATAGGAAAAATGATTAATGAGTGATCATTAATATTTGGTTTCCAGAATTCAAATTATAGGTAAAAACTTTGGCAGATGTTGTAACACACAATATAGCTAAATAAAAATTAACAGGAGTAAACAGAAGTTGTTACACTAGACATATTATCACTAAACTGTGGCTTCAGAAAACAGAAGGAAAAGTAATAGTTATGTACATAATTATATATAGGAGAAAAACCAATCCACAGGAGAAATTTTAAAATAAAGTTTGCTTGGATCTATATAATAGGATCAACAAGACTGTCTCCAGACTCCATACAGTTTAATTTGTCACAGGTTATCATCGAGGTAACAGAAGTTGAAAATGATTATTTGTATTGGCAGTAATGAAGGTTCTTCAACACTGATGAAAAACATTACATTGAATTGTGTAAACATGATGTGCACATGTTTAACATCAATATGTAAACAAAATTTTTTAGATTTGTTCACTTAAATTATAATTTGGTATAAACCAATTCTGTACTGACAGTCTTATGGTTTTATTATTGAGGATGGACAAAGAACACAACTAATTTCCTCTCTCTCTTTGTCACTGTGTGTGCATGTATACACACACACACACAGAGTTACAGACTGACAGATAAGTACTTTTTTGTAGAAATATAATGAATATACCTTAATTTACGCTTTGGTGGCTCTCTTGATGAAAGTTTTGGTTCAATATGTTCTCCCTTCTTCAGCTTCTCTAGAATTTCATTTATTTCAGGAGACAATTTTTTGTCTACAGGTTCCAACTGTTTCAGTAGCTGAAGAATTAAGATACTTTTAAATATGCAAGACAACAGATGATATTACTCTAAACTTGAGAATGTTGCTATAATTCACACACCCAAATAAAAAGAAATAAAAAAGAGGAACGACTTATATAGTAGCCGATTAGCTATTATAAAGTGAAAGTTTACAAAGGATAACTTGGAGTTAGAATATTTCATCTTACGGTTTATACATTTAGCTACTCAATAAAAATGGGTAGTTATATCATCAGAACTGTTTCTAATTGAACTTCAAAATAAATGCATGTATTGTTACACTAGCTAAATCAGAACTAGAATTGATTAGATATTACAAAGTGAAAGTTTACAAAGGATAACTTGGAGTTAGAATATTTCATCTTACGGTTTATACATTTAGCTACTCAATAAAAATGGGTAGTTATATCATCAGAACTGTTTCTAATTGAACTTCAAAATAAGTGCATGTATTGCTACACTGCTAAATCAGAACTAGAATTGTAACATTTAAAAAAACACTGACAAATGGAAGTAATTAACAACTGTATTAGAACATACGAGTCTAATAAGTACTGAGTTATAATCTAATAATGAAAGGACAACGAAAGATGACCAAGTAGTGGTTTAATTGTGAGGAAGGTTATGGAAACCTTCTGATTTCAAGGACAAACTGATTTTAGCTTTAACCACACGCAATTCTCCTTCAAAAATTTTAAATTCATAGTATCTAAACATTAGTTGATATTTACTCTCTTGAGTTTGTTTTAAAGTGAACCTAGTGTAATGAAGCAAACCAGATTTAGATAAAATAAAGTGTGGTATTTATACCAACAAAGAATCTTATTTTACTTTCTGAGCACATAAAAAGAAATGAAGACACACTCTTTCAGTGTAACTTTGTATTATGTTTAAACTGGTACAGACAGTTTGTCAAACTTCATTAAAACAAAAACAGAACTGAACATATCTGAAAATGACAACTTATCACTAACTCATACAAGCTTAGAAGTAACATGTTATAACTAGTTCTCACAAGTATCATGGCTGCTTCCTAGATTTGCATTTTCTTTTTTTGATATAAATTTTGGTGGTTAAATATAAAATCTGAAGTTACTTTAACCTTAACTGTGGATCAGAGTGAATTATTTCAGTATATGTTCACAAACCGTTTTAGTGAATTGTTTGCATATGTAGATACTGGATAAAACATAAAACTATTAACTGCTTGAAATTAACTTTATAATATATTTTAATTAACACAACAGGACACATAAATATCTCAATATACTTTACTATAGATACTTACATTTCTATATGCAAGCAGTCGCTTCATGACTGGGTGGCTTTTTACAGGCACTCGCTGAGCTTTCAACACCATGTAGAAGCTAATATTTGTACAGTAACTACAGGAAGAAAAATTCCTAAATAATTAATAATTAAGCCTAGAACAAGAAAACATGTTGTATATTTTACTTAGATACTACACTAACAATATACACACACACACACATACTCATGATGTTAAGAAAATACATACGTTCAAAAAATCAATTTAACACAAAAACACAAAAACCCTATACCCGAGCACTTTCAAAAGCTCTTGGACTAAATGGTTTTGTATTTATATATATATATATATTTTGTAAAAATCTTTTTATATAGTACAAATTTTACACTTACATGTAAATAATCTACTAATATCAATGATATTAAACTGATGCATATAATATAAAGCAACAAATCATATTAACACATAAAGAACTTAAAAAAAACTTACTTCAATATTAAATCTTGTTTTGTTGTCAGAAAATCTGAAGCGGGTCCAGGTAGAATAACTCCAGTTTTTATTAGCTGAATAATGGGCTGGATTTTGTCATTTAGCTCCCTCATCTGAACAAGAGTAAATAAACGCATATCAGTCACGATAACAGAAAATCATGCAAGTCAATCAATTTGATAAAATGAGATAAAAAAGAAAAAAAAAAATTCATTTTCAAATATCAAAGATAGGTTTCGTGTTATTTTTAATGAAATCAATTAAACACTATTTATGGTCGGTATTAGTATTTCAAATCCCAGACTAAAACTAATCATTCTTAATACTTACAGGTTAACGTGTCAGTCTGAATAGTTTTTGAAATATTTAATCACAATCTTCCAGAACTTACACTCTTTACATTTAACAAGTTTTATCATCATATGTCTTAGCAGAAATTTATGAATTTCATCAAAATTATTCTGGCCCTCAATATAGCAGGAAACTAAACTCTTTGATGTAACATGGACACTGAGGATAATTTTCTGGGTTTCCAAACATCTCTTAATTTTCACTTTTCTCATAACTACAGCCTGTAATAACAAAATCTGAAACAATTTATGATATTCAACAAATTGTTGTTGTTGTTTTTAGGAAGTGCAAATACACAATGGACTATCTGCACTCTATCTATTCAGGGGAATCAAACCCTGGATTTTAGAGTTTAGTATGTAATCTTACCAACCACTGTCCCACCAGCAAATATTTTTTTGAAATGTAAAGTGACACAAATGTCAATACATATCAACTAGATAATCAGGTTAACTATCATAAAAATATTTTTTATGTAAATATTTCAAAACAACCAACAGTGTGGGTATCTTACAAATAATGAACAACTCAAAGTTCAGATTGATAACTACAACCAGAAACTCTGCATAACTTTCCTGTTGTAAAATAAGGGAAAAAAAAAGCTAAAGTTACAGATACTTTTTTCTACTTGTGGTTGTATTACAACTCAACTGTCCATGCTACAAAAATTTATTTATAACAAGTTAAAATTTCAAGCTGAAATTCTGCACATTAGTAGAATTTTTATTAGCAATAGAGAAACTGAAAGCAATTGAACAGACTGGAAAATGTTACATACTTGTAATTGAAAGTCTTCAACTAAGTCCAATAACTCAGGAGATTCTTGTTTGAGAAGCTAAAAGTCAAAAGACAGAGATTATTAATTCATTCAAGAAATCACATACGTACACAATACACTTGTGTACAATATAAAATAAATGTTGATTGATTACAAAAAATGTATGTCCTGAAACAAGAGGGAATCCTCAATAGCCATTCTTTTGGGGTTTCATAGATTGATTTACTGTAATCCTCCCTTTTTTTCCTTTTTATCAGCTATATTTTTGTGCACCACCAATACCAAAGCATGGGATCTCTACCAGCCTACCCTCAAATTGAAATTCTTCTAGGCAGGATTAGAGTAAATTAACCTACGAGACCTTGGGCATGGTCAAATACATCAATCAAAAGAGTTTGACCTCTTGAGCCCAAAAATGTAATTAGATCTCAAATTGGTCAAGAGATGACAGAGCCATGAGCTAAAAGTTTGTACTTGAAAAAAACAAACAAACTCAGAACCATTCTATGAGTCACTTTGCTGCAGCTAAAAATTAAATGTACTTTTTCTTAGGTTTTATTCTTGTTTGATGTAAGTCAATTTTGTAACAACCATCATATGGAAGTTTCAGTTAAAACAAAAATTAATATATTTTAAAATGTTATTGATAAATTCGAATTCTTTGTAACACTCAAGATGTTTTCAAGATGGAATTTAATTACATGCAGGTTAATGTTAATCGAATGTAACATGCTGTAATAACTAAGAATAGAACCACACTCTCCAGCAACTATTTAACTCCTGAACACACAGTAATGAGAATAATGGAAACACACATGTATGAGTATCGCTAGATCATAACTGTATCTTCAAGAGAGAAAATGGTTTTGGTTTTATTTTTAGTTACTAGAGTATATTGTTTGTGACTCCAATAATGGAAACACACATAGTGATATACATACTGGAGTCACAAACAATAAGTAATGACAACTAGATGATAAACTTATCAAAGGTTTACAAAACCTTATAACAACAAAATACAAACAAAAAGCAACTAAGTTGTACTATGTACTAGTATTTTGTACACGAGTCTTTATATATATCTTGTTTTTCGTGCTGCCACATGCTTTATCAATGAATATTTGTTGCATACAGTTCTAAGTGTCCTATAGTACTCCCCAAAATTCCAACCAAGTTATCTGGTCGCCTTTTGAGCTTTCCAGTTTTACATAAGCCCACATGGCTTGAAATATGTTTATAAGGGGACTTTGTGCCTTGGTTGTGAATGTTTCACTGGTCTCTTTAGCATCAAGATATTGTTTTACCATATTTACTTTATGCTTGGGATCACTGGAAGATTAATTCATGCCTGATGAGTCATGTTCCTGAGGAAACAGCGTGATGGATCATAATTTGCCTGTACGTGTCAGCAGTCAGAGTGCCATTAATTTTTTGTAGACATCAACAGTCAAGATGCACTCCATAATTTGGTCCCCCAGCATGTTTCACTGTAAATGTTGTACATTGACTATGATACTGTCCTCCTCTTTGCCACTGAATAAACTGTTAACTGTTGCTGAACAATTCAAAATTGGATTCACCTGTACAGGGGACATGTCTCCAGCTCTGATCATTTCACTGTTTTTTAATCCAAAGCCTATTCAATCTTATGGTTTGGCTACCTCTTCTCAGTAGCAGTTTCTTACCAGCTACACATCCACTGAGACCACTTGATCCTATTGTACACCTTACTGTTCTTGAGGTAACATTCACACTTGTATTTACAGCAAGGCCACTTACAGTAAGACCTGTAATCAATCATCCAGTCCTTTCTGTTTGATGCTTTGGTCATATGTGCAAATCTAATAACACAAGATATCTGTTGCTTGTATGAAAGGTCATATTCAGTCACGTTACATAACAATTTCAAATACTCCCGAGGAAAGCAGAAATGTGTTACCTACTACAATGGATTGAGCAGCATAGTAACAAATCTTTAATTTGTTGTGATTGTTCATAATGCAAACAGAGAAGATAGCAGCCAATTTTGATGAAGATCTTGTAGAAAGCGAAGAAGAAAATCCAAAATTAAAACGAACCTTTTGAACATAGTAGTGTTGTGTAGTTTCATCTTTTTTATAGTTTTGATAATGTTAATAAATCTGCTAATATGATGCAAGTATTTTCTTGCAATTACCATGTCATAACACATCATTTTACAGTATCCATGCTATCATAACACATCATTTTACAGTACCCATGCTATCATAACACATCATTTTACAGTATCCATGCTATTACAACACATCATTTTACAGTACCCGTGCTATCATAACACATCATTTTACAGTATCCATGCTATTACAACACATCATTTTACAGTACCCGTG